TTGCTGTCTATGGGAGGGTCAGAGAGCTCTCAAAATTCATCAAAAATATCTTAATTTGTGTTCCTTACGGGTTTAGAACGACATGAGGGTGAGTAATTAATGACAGAATTTTCATTTTTGGGTGAACTAACCCTTTAACTACCCCTAAAAGGCAAATAGCAGTACTATAAACGCACATATTACTAGTAATATGCACCTTTTAGGGGTAGTAAAGGTACAATATTGTCCCTTTAAGGGTACCAGTGACAAGCTGTTGTACCCCTAAAGGAAACATTTTTGCACATTTTTGTCCTTACAGTGTTGCTTACTGACAATTAGTCTGGCTGCAAGTATACTTAGCATATTTTTTTTTCACTAGGGCAGTGATACAGTATGTGCATGAAGGGTTAGACCATATCTTATGTACATTGTCTCCTATCTGCAAATATCTATGCATTTGATGTTGGAGAGGGTTAAAAAGAAACAGAAACGAGTTATTAAAATACTTTTACATAACAGTATTTAAGATGACGACTGCAGGGGCACTGAGACGTTTTACTTTTAAATTTGATAGGCACTGTATATGGGGAGAACAGAATTGGGAAATGATGAGCCGAACTTGAATTTAAATTACCTACATTAGCACTACATAGAATAACCATTTTGGGTTCTTCTATGTAGTGTGAAGAACATTTTAATAATTTAAAGAACCTTGGTCAACTATAAATGAACCTTTTGTGCAATGGAATGTTTCCACAGATGTTAAAGGTTCTTCATGGATCCCTAGAAGCCAACTGTACAGTGCAACATCTCAGAGCACATGCACTGACAACTATATCACAGAAATATCTTGTAACGATTACAGTGATTGCCATAGTATCTGAGATCAGCTCAGTAAAAGTGGGAATATCCTGTCTGATGACATGCACACATTGAGGGGAGGAGAATAGAGAGCATGGCTGAGGGCCTAACCGCAATATCTAAATATTGACTGTACAACGTGTAATCATGTTTGGTCTGTGGACAGGGTGAAAATAAACACCAGTGTGTGTGTATGTGTGTGTGTTCTCTCATTCCATAATAGAAACAGCGCAGACATGCCTTTTCAATATGTTTAGAGCACTCATAATTAAACATGCACAAATCATTAAAAGGATTAGAAGAGATGTATCTCATCAAGACTTAATGTGCTGTGTTTGCCATTGACATTTTAAGCATATGGAGCTCATCAGAGTGGTCCTTTGCATTGCAATTGCTTGTGGTTTCAATGCATACTGATATAAATCTTTTCATGTGGGTGGTCTTGGAAATGGGAAGACCTTCTGCACTGAAACAACAACATAAAACATTTTACTTTCATTTGAGGGGTATGCTTAGCTTTTCAATTTCATCTCTGTCGTCATATCTTCATAATTCACCCTTTGCGGTGGGTAACAGCTTTCCCTGATCCTTCCAGTGCTGGAATGTCAAACATTTCTAGAATAAAAAAAAAGAAGTAAAGACAATAATTTGGCAGAATAACACAACATAACTTTTAAGTAACTTCAACATTCCCGAACAATACTGTTCTTGTAGCACAAGGAACATATCTAAAATATGGAATCTAATTAAATTAATTTATAATTTACTTAATTTCTCTAAAATAACAATACACTACCTCAAGAATAATGTCCTGACCATTAAATTCCAGCATTCAAAATTCTTTACTTTCAGCTTTAAATAGTATATTAACTAGTTTTATAATCATGTCTGAATCCCTCCCCCAACAAAGGATATAAATAATATTAGCCTAAATAAATAGTATAAGAAAGAAGTTTACAAGGAACCTTTTGAAGTGGATTATAAAATGTAGTTCAATTTAATTAACCATTTATAAAGCATTTTTTCAAGCATTTTCCTATCCTGTTTGCTCATGGACTGAAAAAAAAGGTCTATTGTATGGCAAAATGGATGATTAATTGTGATGGGAATGAAAGTTTTGGGATTACGCCATAATGCTTAACCTAAATGGTCCATTAATTCTGCCCTGGCACTGAGACTGAGAGGGAGAGACAGGGAATAAGAAAGAGACACGCCATGTTATTCTTCTGCTTTAACTCCTTCCAATGAGTTTTGGAGGGACTGAAGGGAGGAGCGCGAGGGGGAGCGTGTGGGAAGAAAAAGAGGGTGAAGAAAGGAAAAAGAAGAGGGGGAATATAAATTAGCCGAGAGACAATTGAGCAAGAAGAGGGAAAACTGAGATCAGACTGATTGTAAGGAGAGTGTCAAAATGTGGGAATGACACTAAAAGTTATACATGATCTTAAAGGGATAGTTCACCCAAAAATGAAAATTTGATGTTTATCTGCTTACCCCCAGGGCATCCAAGATGTAGGTGACTTTGTTTCTTCAGTAGAACACAAATGAAGATTTTTAACACAAACCGCTGCAGTCTGTCAAGTCATATAATGGAAGTGAATTTTACCTCTGATTCACCGCAATTTTCTCAACTGTCCTGAGCGCGTTCTCAACAGCCGGC